TTTATTTCTTTTCTTTTTGGGCTTATAATTGACTTCCTAAGTTAAAGTTGGTAGTTGATTGTGAGGCATAACATTGTGGCCCTATTGGATTATTGGGTTAAAATTGGCCCTCGTTGGATAGGTTTTAAACCAAGCCCAACTTTTTTTTTTTGATGAATTTTATTTTTTTTCATCTGATTTATCTCTTCTATAATTTTTTTTTTTTTTGAAAATAGGGAAAAGATAAAGAAAGTGATAAATGGTGCATTTTGAAAATCCGAAATAAAGAAAGGGAAAATGAATGAATTTTGAAAATGATCTATGTGTGAAGATAAGCTGAATCTTTTAAGGATAAAGGATAAGATAATTTTTAAAATCAACCCATTATTTTGATTTAGAATTCTAAATGAGTTGAGACTAAATGCCTATATAAGTAATAATAATTTAACATAGTGGACAAGCAGAAACAATCAAGAGAAAAAGTAAGAAAAAATAAATAGTCTGCCAAATTATTTATTTGAAGAGATTTGATTTTTTTTCCTTTTTTTGTTTTGTTAGGGTTTGATTTAATTCAATTTTGAGGAAATCAGTGTTATTGAAGGATCCAGAGGGCCCAAAAGATTTAAACTGAATTTCTAGCTTTTTTTTTTTAGGAAATTTATGAAAAAAAAAACTTCAATTTTTTGGTGAAACTTTAAATTTTTCGATGAAGATTTCAACAAAATTTACAGTTTTCGATGACTTTTTCAACAACATTTGAATTTTCCAATGACAATTTCCAAAACATGGTTAGCTTTGCTATTGTCGGTGCCAAATTTCTAGAGAGAAGGTTGACAGAAACGAGAAAGAGAGAAAAAAAAAAAAAGAAAGAAAACTAAAGGGAGGGAAACTGAGGAAAAAAATGATTTTGGGCTTTTAATACAGCCCTAAACAACACTATTTTGCCTTAAAAACTTTTCAAGATCCATGCGTCGACCGCTTTCAACCCGACCTATACTGCAGGTTTTTTTTTCTTTCATTTTCTTTTATATATTTTTTAATTGTTTTATGGTTTTATTTATCTCTTTTTTATTTTTATTTTGTTTTAATTATTTTTTATATATTTTGAATGATTAAAGTTTTTTAGGAAAAATGATTAGTAGGGGAAGTTATTCTAAATTATAAAAATAAATAAATAAAGGTTAAAATAAAAATTTAATAAAATTTGGAAAATAAATCATAATTATCGAAAAATAAAATTTTTAGAAATTATAAATGGATAAGCTTTTAAGAATTTTTAGGTGAGAAATTTATCTAAATTAGACTTACATGGAGAAAAATTTTAGATAAAATTTCAATAACAATAATTAGTATTTATTTTCAAAGTAAAAAAATACATAAATAAACTTTATAAAATTTTGGGAATGAGTTTACAATTATCTAATGATGAGATTCTTATAAGTTTTTAATAGTCAAGTTTCTAAAAAGTTTCTAAATGAGAAATTTCTCTAAATTTAACTTGAATAGTGAAATAATTTAGGTGAAATTTCAATAAAAGTGGTTGCATTCATTTTTAAATCAAAGAAAAAAGTATAACTTATAATTTTGTTTGAAAATATATGGCAATTATCCAATGATGAAATCCCAAGAAAATTACAAATGATTGACTTTCTAGGAAATTTCTAGTTAAAAATATTTTCTAAATTCATCCCAAATAATGAAAAAGTTTAAATAAGATTTCAAAAAATAATTAGCATTTATTTCCATTCTAAAAATTAAGATGTAAATAATGGATGAAGCTCTATAATAAGAATTTTAAAAATCACAAATGGATAATTTTCTAGGATATTTCTATGTAACAAAATATTTCTAAATTGAGCTTAAATGGCAAAAAATTTAATTATATTTTCAATACAACAAAAAATTTAAAATAAAACCTACAAAATAAAGAATAAGTCTAACAATGAAATTCTTAGTAATTGCTAATTGATGATTTTTTAAAGAAATTTTTAAATGAGAAAATATTCTTAAATATGACCCAATTTGGGAAAATTTAGATATATTTTCAATAAAACAAAATTTAATAAAAAAACTTAAATAATTAAGTCTTTTTTTTTCAATGATGAAGCTTTTTCAAGAAAACATATGAAAATTTTGAATACTTTTAAAGTAATGAAGTATTTTTAAAAATTCTGTTAGATTGACAAAAAAATCTTAGAAGTTATTTTGTGATATCTAAACATTAAAATTTAATAAAAAAAAACCATTAGAATCAAGATCCTTAAGATAATTTGAAATTAAGTGCTAACATTTTTTGAATGGGCGTGTGAGAGTACTATAATCATTTTCATACATAATTGAATTCCCGAACTTAATTTTGAAATATAAAATAAAATTTATTCTTTTAGAAGCCTAAGTCAAGCTTAGGATAGATTCATGAATCTATCTATTATAACACATTCTATTATATTTTATTTTTTTAAAATAAAACAAACACATTGAACAAGATTTAAATTATGTGTTAAAACAATTTTTAATTATTTTATATTAGTAATTTATTTAGATAAAATTTTATTAATTGTGATATCTCGTACATGATATGGATCAAAGTGAGTTGTCATCAATAATAAATATGAAATAATAAGAGATTAATTAAAATTTTGACGAGTGAAAATGTGGCTAGATAACTAATGAAACCTAAAATATTGAATTAACAGTGAGCAGATCTTAGAATATTCATCAGCAAAATGAGAAACAAAAAATACGGCTGACTATTAATGAGATCCAACGAGGAAGATAGATATAAGAGAGATAGAAAGGCTTCTCTATGATCACAATTTCCACAATGAATGCTATCACTTATCAACTCAGTTCATTTCCACATGATCCCACCTGCTTTGCTGTTGAGCATTCATTTATTTTCATTTTCAAGTCTCACACAATCCCAAATGAATCATACAGTACACAAAATGTTTCTTTACATTGTTCAACAAAAAATTGCTACAGATATCAACCATATTTTTTTTCTGGCAGCTGACAGCTGAATGGAAATGAGAAAATTTTGATGATGATAATAATGATGAGAAAGCGAGAAATTAAACTTAACCTAATTCCAACCAACCAAAGACATTCATAGCTGATCAGTTTGTTGAGCTTTCTTGAATTTTTGTCCTTTTTTTTAATTGAAGGAAAAGAGATTCTATCCATGAGTCATAACTAAAAGTGTTTATGGATGTAGTGACTCAGGCTCAAATCCAATCTGTTTATTTTTAAAAATTAAATAAAAATTAATAATATTATTTAATAATATAATAATATAATCAAATTGATTATTCAAATCTTAAATGTCCGGATTTAACCCGAACCGGGTCAAGCTCGAAGACCTGACGGATAACTCGACCCGTGCCCATAACTATTGTATATCTTTAAAAATAATGGAAGCCTTACGAAATTTACAACTGATGCAAAAAAAAAAAAAAAAAAAATGTATCTAGTTATGCATGTTGAGTTTTATGGGGCTAAAACTACAGCTTTCACAAGCATAATAACACACTGGACCAAAACCCAGAACTCTAATTTGAAAGAGTATGAACCAATAAAAGTTGAATCAATATGGCCATATTTTTGTAGAGAAACAAGAATTTTAACAACTTTTTAAGTCCACTTAATATGATTAAAAAAGTATGTTGGTCTTCAATTAGACATATATTAATGAGGGAAGATGATTACTTGGGCATGCATGCGTGCTAGGACCACAGTTTGAATACAATCATCAATGGTTCTTTACTTTGTTTCCACTGGGTTGGCTCATGGCTGGCCCTGAGTAGGTTGATAAAATGTAAGATGATATCAAAATGGCTAAGCACGTTACTTGCTTTCTGCAATAAAAAGCTGGTGAAACTGAAAACTGATTATTCTTTTTTCTCTAAATTTGACATCCCTCTTTTTGTACACAACCACCTCCCACTTTTCTTCCAAGTTCCAACCCTCTTCTTCACCCATCTTTCAACCCTCTCATTTTCTTCCTTCCTCTATTTGTCAAAACCTTCTCAACCCTCGTGAATTCGTTAGACCCGACGTAGATAAATATACTTGAATCGATAACAAAAGAGGATGTATTTAGCAAAACCCAAAAACTCATTACAACTTAAAAAAAAAAAAGCCTCCACAACCCATCTTTCCTTCACGGTATAAACTCCAATTTGCAAGTCAGCTCGAGAGAGGCATAATAACAAAGTTAATTGAGACAGGTTGAGTATCTTGGAAATTTGGGATCAATCAGCCTGGCTAACCATTGTTAGTTATCAAGCATTGGCTAATCCTAGTTTCATAATGCAAATTTATCCCAGCAAGAATGAGATGTTTTTAAATAAGGATAATTACATCTTGAACTTTGAAAGGGAGCAACAAAGGTGCAGTGAGTGCATAAAACAAGGCCCCCCCCACCACCAGATAACTATCAAGTGGATGTCCTTATAAGGGAATAAAAATATGGCACTTAAAATGGGAAATGCCAGCTTTTTATATGGATTCAGTTTGTATGCATTGCTCAGCCTTCATCAATTCAAGGCATCAGATACAAAATAGTCATAAAAAAGGAACGAAACCATAAAATTTTCAGGAGTGCTGAAAACCAATGATGCTATTCTTTTTGCATGCATCAGACACTGAATACATCAGTAGCTACTTTCATATTACTTCCTTACTTTAAGGGACAGCATGCTCATGTGATGCTTCTTTTAAGAAACACCACTATATAGTTGATGTAAAGCCTTTCACAACACTGAGTGAAAAATGCCCGATCTAATGCAATCTAAATCTAACAATTAGGAATACAAGGAAATGTCTATATCGGCTAAACCATCAGTAATACACCATTAGTCCTGACAATGGGAGTGCATCAATGAGAAACAAGTACACTGAAAAGAATTATAAGCCACTGCATTATCAATTACCCAAATTGATAGGATTAAACTGTGATGTGCATTATGAAAAGAGACCGGTAGGCATATGGAACTAGTAAAGAATGTACAGAGAAATATAAACACAATCTATAGAGAAGGAAAATACTTCTTTTTATAAATTAATTAAAATTATATACTTCAGAAGAAAGACTTCCCATACCTTCAAAACTAAATACATTAAAAAACTCCAACCTTTGATTAGGAAAAGCCTTTCCATGCGTAACTCAGATATTAACATCTTGTTGAACCTTATCTGTGTCTTCACATGACTATAAGGATCAAGAAAAAAAAAAATCCACAAATCTCTACAGGCATTCATAAGATTTAAACAATGTAATCAATTAAGATAAGAATTTCCATATTGCAATTGCCACTCCATGCAGTCCTCAAAATCAAAACTGCTTGCACAATCCAACAGCGCATTTTGCTGATGCTCATAACGACATATATAATTCAACCCAACAAGAAGCTCACAGATAGCTGCTTCGGTCTTTTCCCTATCAGCAAAATACAACGTCTGGAGAAGAAGAACATTTGTCCGAGTAACAATTTGCTGCTGCTCAAAATTCCGCTCACTTTGCCATCGGATCATGTTATGTGCCAATGGGGCAAGCCACCTCAATATCCCATCGAGAGTTTCTTTCCAATCGTGAGCCAATGGAGCATCATATATAGCCAAATTCTTGACATATGACTTGAGATTAGTCCTCAGAGACAGTCTCAAACTTGTAGGCAACATCTGATACAAATCGTCTCTAGCTTCTTCACCAACCAAATGAGGGTAGCGCAGCAACTTCTCAATGACAATTATTACATTAGCATAATGCAAGGCAAGAGCAGAGCCTCCCACAGTGGAGGGTGAAGCAAACGCTGCTAACCTACTTTTAGGACCAAATTGTGCATTATTCAACACACCACACTTGGATTGTCTTTGATCTCCATTCAAAGGGACATTATGTTGGGGCCGACAAAAGGGAGGAGAGCAATTCGGCCTATCTCTCTTCATCCCATCATTTGCAACAGTACAACAACCTGACATCTGGCTACTTCGGTCATCATGATCAACGTTCCCATCATCACTATCATCATACCTTGAAATTGAACTACTCAAACTAAGGCAATCTGTGAAAAGCCTAGCGGGACTAGTCCCACAAAGAAAACCAAAATCCTCCACCCGAAACAACCCAGCTTCACCCTTTTGAGAATCAATCCCCCGATGCTTCATACTTGCTCCCCTTTTCTCCATCACACCCCTCTCTACATTCCCACGCTGACCACTCCCAACACTGCTACTCTTACTAAAAACCCGTTTAAACTGCCTTGAAACAACTTCATCTCGATCATAACAACCCCCATTAGCCCTCCCCCCCAAAGCCCACCCACATTCACTATCCTTTCTCAAAGCAGACTCCCCAAAGGCAACAAGAATCCTAGCAAAAATAGTACAAACGGTCCTAGCCAACAACTCAACAACCTTATCAAACGTTTGGTTCCAAAGTGAAGCATCCTTAAGATGCCTAACATCTTGTTTCTGCCAAATCAATTTTTGCTCAAAAGCTCTCTTACTTTCCTCATGTGGGTTTGCTTGAAACTTCTTAGTAGCTTGTTCTAATTCATTCAGGACCTCCATTTCATTATACAAATTCGCAGTCGAACTAACATACCTTTCCATTTTCCTAACCATTCCTTCCATATCTTTAACTAAAAATCCTAATTCTCTAACATCAATAACCCCATTCAAAATATCTCCATAAACATGCTCAAATCCTTGTAAAGCTGGTTCGTTACATTTTTTGCCTAGTCTAGAGACAACATTGGCAACCTTGTTTAAGTCATCAAGCCTTTCAGCTAAAGCAAGGGTAAGAAGGTAATTCTCATCAGAAGAAATTAAGTTGGAAATGCCTTGGGACTTTAAGATCTCGGATTTGAGCTTAGAGATCTCGGATTCGGACAGGGATTTGTGGAGATGAACGGTTTTGGACATGACATTGGCAACTTCGAAAGACAAGATTCCAATGGTCTCATGTTTTTTTGGTGTTGGTTTGTTTTGGGTGTTCTTTTTTTTGGAAGAAGGCTCGAGAAGAAGGGCATGTTTAAGATTGGAACTTACCTGGTTTCCCATTTTAAGTATCCAAGTTTCTGCTACCATTGCTGAAGTTGAGCAGCTGTCTGCTGCTGCCTTTGGGTTTCAACAGCTGAAACAACAAATCTCCTTAACAATTTAAAACGGGTTTTCAAAGAAGGAGGAGGAGGAGGAGGCTTTCTTTTTTAGTTCATTTCATTTTTGGGTTGAAAAAAAGGAGAGAGAGAGAGAGAGAGGTGTGAGCGCTTGAAAGAGGGGATTGGTTGGTATTTGAATGTGGCCTGAGGGTTTTGCAAGTACAGTATTACTTATGTATGCCATTGGATATTCAATGATACTTTGATTTTACCACATTATCCTTTCTGTTTTCTTTATTTCTACTATTTGTAATTAATTATTTGAGCAATTACTAATATTTATATTGGATAAATTACAATTACAAATCATAAATGATGATTAAGTAGACATTTTAAGCTTCTAACTGTTAGAAATAGTCATTTCTTGATTCGATCGCTTAGTTCAATAAATAAAAAAAAAAACTCTTAAATTTTAACATTGATAGTCTCTTGTTGATATATCCAAAATTTAAATCTCTAACATAGTAAGTGAGAAAATTGCACATCTGCCCCCTAAAAAAAATGGCCATTTCAATTAAGGGATTTCATTTTTGAAAATAAGGTGAATGAGGTTTGATTTTATAGGATATGAGAAAGTAGTTTTTAAAACCCCATGACTTTTTCTCTTTGCTTACTAGTAATAAAATGTTTTCTATATAAATAAGATTAAATTTGTTTTAAGAATAATGTAGTATATATATATATATATATATATATAGCTTACTATAATACTCTTTTTCTTCGTCTCTTAACTTAGAATTTTGCTTGATTCTTAAAACCTTCAAGAAAAATGAAAAAAAAAAAAAAATTTATCCCCATTGTCACAAGGCTGAATAGAATTATTCGTTCTCTTTTTCTATATTTTTTTTTTTAAATTTGCTTCCAATTGAATCAGACAAGTGATCTTGGTACCATAGGAGAGCTAGTTTGAGATCTACGTTCATGCCATTCACTTTTATTTTGGTTTTGATGTCACCACCCAAAAGGTTGGAACTCATTAGTGCTTGAAATTAAGTGGATTTGGCCACAATTTTTTTTTTTCCTTTGGGTCAACAAAAGAGAAGCAACCCACCCAAACCAACATATCTAGAAAGTGGTTTGACTTAACTCCTAACACAAATCTTTCACTCATTTTATACATGGAGCCAAGAGCACAAATGCTTTAATGTAGCCACATATAAAGGAAAGTGCATTAGATTTTGCTATAGATGGTTAGTTAGGTCTAGAAAAAAAATGATCCCAAAAGCAATGTTTGGTTTTCTAAATCTTGTCCAAGAAAAATTTTAAAAATCATTCCAAAAGTCAACTGATGGGCAAATTGCTTTGCAAAGTGTGAATTTCAAGTCAAAGGGTACGTATTGAAAAAACCCAATTGGAAGAGCTCCAATCATAGGAGGGAAAATGTAGGGCAGGAGGAATGGTGATTGTGGGACCTTTTTTCTTGATGAGTTTAGAAAATTTTTACTTGCAAGTTTGGAAATCATGAAATTTGTCCATTTGGTAGAAGATTTAGGTGTTACCTGCTCCTCTTTCTATTCCTTCGGCTTGATAAGCTTAGCTTTTTGGGCAAGTTGTAACTTCTCCAGCCACCTTTTGATAAAACTCAAAAGAAAAATCCTTCCTACTTTTTTGGCTTTTTCTATTTGTTATCCTTAATCCCACACAAATGGAAAACAACAAAGTTGATTAATTTTAAAGATTAGGGTAATTCAGTTGAATTGAAAGGACTCTTAAGCCCTAATCTAAATTTACTAATTTATGTATTTATATCATGCTTGTTTCATATGAAATACAAAAATTAATATATCATTGACATATCAAATAGAAATATATTTTTTAATTTTTTAAATTTACATATAATTTTTTAAAAATTTTAGACTGTATTATTTTTATATTTTTTATTTAATTTTCATATCAATTTTTAAAATTACGTCTATTTTAATTTATATCTTTTTCAATGAAAAAAAATAATTTATTTTATTGAAGTGTTGTTCAAATTACAGCTTGTAGTAAAGGAAAATGATTAGAATTTTCGGTCTAATCTAACAAAAAGGTTCTTGGAAAAAATGATCATACTATATAACAACAGAGGAATCGTCAAAAGTTACCCAATAGTGGAGTTGGTGGCTCTGTTTGTATTGAGGAACAGCTTACTTAGGTCTTACTAGGAGAGCAAAAACTGGCCACATGGGTTGGCCTCCCCAACCAAAACAGGTAAGGTAAACGACCAAATACTGACAAAAAGAAAGGGTGGGATGAGATGAGAAACTGATACATCACCAAGCTTTTGCCTCAATTATGGTTTTGGCATTTAACAGTCAGTCCTACTTGAAAATTCCCATTTCATCAAACGATCAAAAGCTGAGTCATGTCAATTCAAATTATTGGCTTATGATCCTACAATATTTCCCTGAAATAATGTAATGGCTCCTCTCACTCCCTCCATTTTCAAGGGGACAGTCCGACAGATTTTCATGTTGGGGACATAAAACAGCCATGAAAGACCCATGTTTCTTCCACTAAACTTATGCCTAATAGAATTATGAAAGTGGGTTTATTTTCCTATCCATGTATCCTATAAAGAACTCAAATAGTATAAATAGTTAATGATATATATTTTTTATGATTTTTTAAAATAATTTATTTGGTTCATAATTGATAATTCATTAATTCATTAATAAATAATAATAAGTGATAACATTTTGTTAAAAATATTTTGATCAATCAATTTTATCTTTTTTAAAATTCACGCTTTTTATATAAAAAATATATTATGACATTAGATAATATAAATAATACATATGTAATTTAAAATTTAACTTAATTAATTTATATAATAATTTTAAAAATAATATTTAATAATCTTAAATTTAAATATCAATACATATAATTTTTTTATTCTCAAATTATAATTTCCTTTGATAAAAAAAATAATTCACGCACTTAAAAAAAACACTACTAGTGTTTGTAAAATACTGGTCCCTTGTTTAAGATGTTCAAGTGCAAATCCTGCCTACTTTTGTGATTGATCAATTTTTTGTTAAAGAAAAAAGAAAAAAAAGAAGAAGAAAACGATGCGCAACCAGCTGCTGGCGGCAGCTGTTTATTTTATACTTGCACTTTGTTGGGAATTGTTGCTTTGGGGTCCCAAGGGGAACTTTAGGTAGAAGAGATAGGACCACGTTCCCTACCCTTTGCATTTCATTTTCTGGCCTTACCCTCTTTACTTATCTATTATTTTTAGTGCTTCTTTTCTTTTTCTTTCCTTCTCACAAAAATGGAAAATTTTATTCGTTTAATTCACTACCCAAGAAAATAAATGAAAAAAATAAAACTCAACAAAGACCAAAATATAACACAGTTATGGATAAACTAATTAATCAATCCATGATTTAATTTTGAATTTGCAAAACCTCTCTCATTAATTAATATATAATTTAGAATTGCCAAAAATAATTTTGAACTAAAAAATTAACGTGAAAAAAATTCAAAATTGAACTTGATCAAATCCATAATGATTAAAGAAAATTTAAAGATCCAAACTTTAAAAAATTTAGAACACAATATGGTTTGAAATTTTAAAAAAAATCCAAATTCTAAATTAATTCAACAAAGGCTCATAATCATCCTAACATAATACTAAAATTTATTGCACTTTTAATTATCAATTTGATTTTAATTTAAATTAAATTTGATATGAACTCGAATAACCTTATTAAAAATAATATAAATTCCATCAATATGAATTCAATGTGATTTGTACTTGAAATGATTTAATTAAAATTCATCTGATTGTAATTTTAATTTATATATTATTATATTTCAACATATAATATAAAAATTTTAAATCTTAAAATATAAAATCAGAGACAGGAGGTGGATCATATACAAGATAAAAGTTCATGGCCAAGTTAACATAAAAAAATAAATAAATAAATAGTGATGATTGTTGCATGGGCAAGTGATATGCGTCTGCATGACACTTTGCCCATCCTTCACCTGTTCCAATCAAATGGGGCCCATCTGTGACCTATCCAACCTCTAAGAAAAGAACAAAGTTTAGTGGATTTGAAGGAGAAATCAGCAAGCAAAAAGAGTTGGTTGATGGTTACAATTTCCCTCCGATGTTTCCCTGTAAGTTTGTGTTTGGACTCACTTTTCTGTATACGGAACAATGGAATGTCTCAACCATGGCTTTGAATTTGCCCCACTTTCTCTATATTTACACTTTTGGGTCGATTTTGTCACTTTCATGGATGGGGATGGTACTGTTTTTTGTTGATTTTTTTTCTTTTTGAAAAAGATTACATTATGTTCATCTTTTTGACTAATTTGATTGATTAAGCAATTAGATAATTGGATTCATAATCATCAAAAGTCATCAAAGTGTAAACTACTTTTTTAGCAATCAATCAAAGGTTTTTCCCTTCATCAAGAAATCTTCGGTTTTTTATTACGCGGAAAAAATGTCACTTTCTTGATCTATACATTTTGTTGCAAGTAGGTTTAGAATCTCGGTACTTCTCATTGAAAAGAAGAGAAAAAGAAAAAAATTAGATAAGTTAAAGCAACTTGGGTTTAGAAATATTAAGATCCACAATTGGCAAGCCCAAATAATGAATAGAACATGGGTCAACAAGGGCCTCTTGAAGCCATATATGAATGACAGTGAGAAACCCAAACTTTTTATTTTGAGCATTATTAAAGCTAATGTGATGCACAACCATGTGGTTTGATGGTATTATATTGGATTTTTCATTCAAGTGATTATAATTTAAATTCTATCTTAATTGAAAAAATAATGTACCTCAACAAAATCCCTTTGTAACAAAGTTTATTTCACACAAAACTATTCTTGGTCTTATTGAACATTCACCAACAATAAGAAGTTATAAAATTGGAAAACCTTATTTCATTCCGTAGTCCAAAATACATTAAGAACTACATATGTAACACTCTATTTAAATTCCAAGCCGGATACGGAACTTAGATTTGGTGCAATATGACGGGAGCACCATGTTGAGGTTGAAGAGTAATAACTTGATAAGGAGCATGCATGTAAGAAGGGGAAAGCTCGAACCAGAAACGTTGAAGAATCATAGCTAGTGCCATCTTTGCTTCTATCATAGCAAAGTTTTGGCCTAGACAAAATCTAGGACCCCATCCAAATGGATAGAAGGCGATTTGATCTTTTGATGCCTTGGAAACTCCTTCAGCAAATCTCTCTGGTCTGAATTCTTCTGCATCATCTCCCCAATATTCTGGCTCATAGTGAAGCAATAATGTTGGTAGCTGAATGTCTACTCCGGCAGGGATCGGCATTCCTCCTATGCTAGTTTTCTTGCTAGTATGTCGAGGCAAAACAGTTACGGGTGGATATAATCTTAGGACTTCATATAATATCATGGACACCTGCAAAATTAAGTCATGTTTCCAAACAAAATGCTTGGTTATGATTTTGCATTGGAGAAAAAGTAAATTCAGCACGTGCCCTCTAAATCTTCTGCCATCATAGGCGGTGTTTTCAGAAAACTATACTTACAACTTTGAGATGGTTCATGTTTTCAGCACTAGGAATTTTCTTTCCACAGATTTGTAAAACCTCTTGTCTTGCTTTTTCTTGCCAATTTGGATACATAGATAAGGTGATCAATGTCCACGTGAGCCAGTTGGCCGTGGTTTCCTGCCCAGCAAAGTAAAACAATTTGCATTCCTCTATGACATCTTCAACAGTCATCTCATTGCCAGATTGTTCTTTGCACTGTAACAACAAGCCTAGTAAATCATTGTCCTTGAATTCTCCATTTTTAATGGCCTGCTCTTTCTTATGAATCATATCCCTTAATGTTGTTTTGATCTCCTTGTCTATATCGTATCTCCTTTTGTTCTTTCTAGTGGGTATGAATCTGTAGAAAACAGATCGAATCGATACATAATTTAGTCAGTCCTGAAGCAAATATTATAGTAATCAACCGCAGCAAACAAAGGCAAGTAAAAAGAGGGAATTGGACCTAAATCCAGGAACGTAGAATGAATAGTAAGCTTCAAGCACCAAAACAGCTTGCTCTTTCTGAAGTTCAAATATCTTCTTTCCCTCTTCATAGCTGCTTCCAAAAGCCGTTCGAGCAATAACATCACCGGCAAGATTATGGAACTCTGGGGCAACATCCCATTCACAAGATCCTTCTAGACTCACCAACTCTGTCCATCTTTCAACTAGGTTACAACAACTTGTTGCAAATGCTGGTATCATTTCCTGTTTGCCAGAAACCATCAGTACATGTATTGCTATAGTTTTATTAGTTGAGCAAGATCCTTCTGGTGCATTTGGAGTTACCTTTAACTTCTCAAGGTGAAAAGCAGGTGTTATCAGCCTTCTCCGTTTGGCCCATTTCTCTCCTTCCAAGGTAGAGACTCCCAGCTGTAGAAGATCCACCAGAGGGTTTAGTGGTGGCTTTACAAAATGACCATTTTTGTTTTCTAATACCAACTTCATCAGCTCAGTGTCCGCCACTATTATACTTGCTCTTGTTTCTTTCCAACTCATACTGATTTTTCCTGTTTCCATCCACCATTCAAACCCATTAACATTGTTAAACCAAATTTGCTACAGATTTAAATAATTGCTGTAAATTTCTGCAGAATCCCAACTTACCATAGTTTTCCACCATTTGATAGACGAATGGTATTACACGTGGCACGATATGGTGAGTTATCTGAGTCATGGGTTTGGACCATGCTTCCTTGGAAGACATGACCAGTTCTTTAGTATCACCATGAAAAAGCTTGTAGGAAGTGCCTTTGATTCCTTGTCGTCTCAAGTACCACTCCAAGCTTTTGGGTCTCCACCAGACAACATATGTTATTCTCAACACTGAGTAAAGAAGAAGTGTTGCAACTGATACAACAATGGTGTTAATGAAACTGAAATTGGAACACTCCATTTCTTTTACTCTGCTTCAACTTGTTGAATTAATAAAACTTAAAAAATAAAAATAAAAAAATGAGTCTCAACTTTGAGCTTATAAACAAGGATTTTATAAGGCTTGTTTCTGAACTATTTGAAAATGACATCCATATCTTTTACGCCAAGGAAAAAAAGTTCACTCCTTTTTTTATTTTTTTGTATGCTTGGGCATCAAGGCAGATCAAGAGGATAGTTTCTCTCTAATTCTGTCTTTTGACAAGTAACATAACTATGTTTGACTTTTGAGAAGAACAGACAAAAAAACAGAACAAGGAGTGTGGGTGTCATTGCCTCGCACCCCAAGTGTATGGTTTCAAACTAACGTCTACTTGCAATCCTAAAATCATTAGTGCCTTCGATTTTGAACAAGATTTAGATCTAAGTTTTTTTTTTTTTTTTTTGTATGGAATTAGAAAAGTTATTTTCAAAATAATTCAATAAAAATGTTAATAAAAATTTAAATTAATAAATGGATAGAATTTAATAAAAAGCAAATAATATGTAAAAAATTACTAAGAATATCATTTAAAATTTAAATTAAATTAATATTTATTTAACGATAAAAATTATATTAAAATTTTTAATAAAAATATTTTAAAAAATATATTAATTTCTTTTAATTTCAAAATTTACACAATTGATATAAATAACAAAAATTTTCAATCATTCTATTTGAATTTTTTTTTTATTACCGGTAAACATTACTTTGTAACCATACGATTGGGTGCAAGGCAATGACTCTCACTTTTCTAGTTCTGGTTTTTTTGTTTTATCAGTTCTAATTCAAAAAAAAAAAAAAAAAAAACCTGTAGCGCAAATTACAAGCCCAGTATGCATACTTTGAAAGCCAGAGGGATTACATGCTTATAAGTCTTGGGCTTGGACTTTTATTGTTGGATTTTGGGTAGGTTGACAAGTCCAATAAAAGAAAAACTGAAAAAGGAAAAACAAATGCAATGTCTGAAAAATAATTTTTTATTAGAGAAATTATTTGACTAACAATAAAATTTTTAACCTCTGTAAAATTACGAAATTGACATATATATTTTTTAAACTATTTTTAAAATTTTTTTATATACTTTGAGAGATATATGTCACTTTGCTAATAATTTTTATGCATTTAAAAACTTTATTATTAATATATTTAATAAGTTTTATTTTTATTAACTAATTTTAACGAAATGAGTGTATGAGATGAGTGTACTGCGTACGTAAAGGTGTACCATTGACCAAAAAAAAGCGTAAAGTATATAAATATTTCCTGAAAGTAAAGTAAAGTTTTTGTTTTTCATAAACAAAATAATGCTTATATTTACTCCTTGTAGGAAGTAAATTAAAAATTTTCTCACATTTGACCAACTTTTATACAAACTAGAAATAGATATGCTCGTTGTTGCGAGTTAAATTTTTTTGTTTTGTCATCTAAATTTATTATATATTTTTTAAAATTATATAATTAAAAAAATTAAAAAAATGATATGTTAATATTTTAATCGATTTTCTTTACTCATAAAATTTATCTAATTAAAAATAAAAACTAAAAAATTGAAAAGTAAAAAGTGAAAAGAGAGAAGAGAAAATGAAAAAAAAAAGTTTATAGAAGGTGTTACATTAAAACTCTATATCAAATTAACGATATTAATTTCTTAAATAAAAATTAAAAATAATTTTATTAATATAATATATATATAAATGCCAAAAATTAAATTAATTATAAAATATTTATATTAATACATACTTTAAAATTGATCGGAAGAAAATATGTAAACATACTTTCATTTTTGTCTTAATTCAATCTTGATTTAAAAAAATTATTTTTATCAAATCAATATGTATCAAAATCAATCAGATATTGTTTTTATACTTTTATTAATTGACATCATTTGTTGTAAAATTTATTTGATTAATTAATAAAAACAAAAACAAATGAAATGAAAAAAAGGTAAATGACTGCTATGTGAACACTTTTATTTGTTTCGTTTACAAAATTTTTTTTTAATAAATAAAAGAAAAATGAAAGAACAAAAAATTATTAAAAAATTTCATTAGGATATTACGTGAATAACTTATTTAAATAAAAATTTATTGAATATAAATTATTTTAACATTACTATTCATTGGGTTTTTTACTCTATATCTTTTAAAAATATTTTTTTTAAAAAATGAGTCCCACCAATACAAAATAAAAAAACAAAAACCCGATAAAATAAAAAAGGATCCCACACCTTAAAAAATAAAAAAAGATGTGGGCTTCACACCCTTAAAAATATTTTTAAAAGGTTGGTGAGGCCTGAGAGAAAAAAAAGAAAAAAACCAAGAGTCTGTCCAATGGCATGCCATGTGGCAGCCTGGGTTGTAAATTTGCAGCATTTACATAGAGGGTATCAATTGGACCCAATATTAAAAAATTAAAATATTTAAAAATATAAAAAATAACAAAGAAAAGGAAAATATGAAAAAGAAATGAACAAAAAAATCAAAATTACTTAACACAAGACCTATCTTTAATATTAAGTAAGTCTCATAAAAAAATTAAAATTTAAAAAGGTGGTATATCTTTGATAGCAAGTTAGTCTCAAAAAAATTTTAAAATTTTAAAAAATATTTTTAAATAAAAAAGGTAAAAAGTAAAAAAAGAGAAAAAATTGAAATATTAAATATTAAATATTTAAGTGAGTCTCACATGAAAAATAAAATTTTTTGCCAAAGAAAAAATCTAAAATATATTTTTATTATTTAAAAAATATTTATTAAATATAATATATAAATTAAAAAATAAAAAACGAAGCAGCAAGCAACACGTGGACAACAATAGTAGATGGTACATTTGCAAAATTTATATAAAAGATACATATATATACACACACATATACAAATAACTAATTACAATTCTTTGCCATATAGGAAATTAGATTCGGTGCAATATGATGGGAGCACCATGCTGAGGTTGCAGAGTGAAGACATGATGGGGAGAATGAGCGTAGGAGGAAGAGAGCTCGAACCAAAAATGTTGAAGAATCATAGCTAGTGCCATCTTTGCTTCAATCATTGCAAAGTTTTGGCCTAGACAAAATCTTGGACCCCAACCAAAAGGATAAAAGGCTATTTGATCCTTTGATGCTTTGGAAACTCCTTCAGCAAATCTCTCCGGTCTAAATTCTTCAACATCATCGCCCCAGTATTCTGCCTCATGGTGAAGCAACAATGTTGGTAACTGAATGTCTACTTGGGCAGGGATAGACATTCCTCCTATGGTTGTTTTCTTGCTTGTATGTCGAGTTAGAACCGTAAAAGGAGGATATAGTCTCAAGACTTCATGCAATACCATTGATATCTGCAAAACAAGCCAAGTTTTTCAACAAAAATGTTTAATTATGATATTTTTTTTTACAAAGGAGGCCATAACTTGAGAAAAGAAAGAATTACAAATTTTAGGATTTGAACTCTAGGCTTGCTGAATGATATCAACATAGGAGATATTTCCATTTTCCAGGGAACTATACTTACAAATTTGAGATTGTTTATGTTTTCAAAAATGGGAATTCTCTTTCCACATATTTGGACAACCTCTTCTCTTGCCTTATCTTGCCAATTTGGGTTCATAGATAAAATGATCAATGTCCATGTGAGCCAGTTGGCAGTGGTCTCTTGGCCAGCAATGTAGAACAGTTTGCATTCCTCTATGACATCCTCGATAGACATATCATTTTCAGATTGTTCTTTGCACAGCAACAGCAAGCTTAGCAAATCATCATTACTGGATTCTCCATTTTGTATGGCCTGTTCTTTCTTATGGATCACGTCCCTTAACAATTTTTTGACTTCTCTATTTATCCGATATCTCCTTCTGTTCTTTTCTGTAGGTATAAATCTATAGAAAAAAGAACGGATACTTGGATTAGTAATTGTAACAAATTTTCTAATTGAACACGCAAAAGGTTCCGTGCACCAGAGATGAAAAAACAGAGGAATTGAACCTAAATCCAGGAATGTAGATGGAATGAAAAGCTTCAAGCACCAGGTCAATTTGCTCCTTCTGGAGTTGGAATATCTTCTTTCCCTCTTCATAACTACTTCCAAAAGCTGTTCGAGCAATAACATCACCAGCAAGATTATGGAACTCTGGTGCAACATCTAGTTCACAAGATCCTTTATGACTTACCAACTTTGCCCATCTATCAATTAAGTTAGAACAACTTGTCGCAAACGCTGGTATCATCTCCTATTTGCCATAGAACCGATTAGTACATGCATTGACACAGTGAAAAGGAATGTTAGCTGGACTTTACAAAAAGCTAATTATGTTTTCCACAGCCAATTGAACATCCCAAAAAAGCATTGAATTATGTAAGAATATTTTCCATAAAGTTTCGTATGTAGAGCTAATATACACCTTTAACTTGTCAAGGTGAAAAGCAGGTGTTATTAGCCTCCTGCGTCTCGCCCATTTCTCTCCTGTTAAGGTCTCGACTCCTTGCTGGAGAAGGTAGACCAGAGGGTTTTGTGGTTGTTTCACAAACTCACTATTCTTGTCCATTAAAACTAACTTCATCAGCTCCCTGTCCGCCACTATTAGGTTTGGTCTCGTTCCTTTCCAACTAATGCAGATTTTCCCTGTTTCATCCACCAATAAAAACGGTGTGAATCCGAGGATTTTCTTTTCTGGGAGATATCCACTTATGATGTATACATATAAAAATCTGTTGAATAAAAAAGGTGTCCAAAATAAATTTTTGAGGGTGTTCAGAAGAAAATTTTACTTCAAATTTTATTGCTTTTCAATCTTTGAGTTGTCCATTCTAAACATATGGATCCACCCCTGACAATCATAGTTATATCTCTAGATTTTCATTCATTCTAATGAATCTAATCTGATCTAATCTCCTCCCCCCCCCCCCCCCCCCCCCCAAGTTTATGCGGATTTGCTTACCATAGTTTTGCACCTTCTGATAGATGAATGGTTCTACTCGTGGCACAATATGGTGATTCAGAGCCATGGGTTTGGACCATGCTTCATCGAAAGCTCTGTCCCGTTCTTTAGTGTCACCATAGAAAAGCTTGTAGGAAGTTCCTTTGATTCCTTGCTGTCTTAGGCACTTCTCCAAGCTTCTGGGTCTCCACCAAACGGCATATATTATTCTCAACACTGAGTAGAGAAGAAGTGATGCAGCTGATACTACAAGAGTGTTGATGATACTGAAATTTCCCATTATTTCTGCTATGCTTCAACTTGTGCAAGGATTTTATAAATTAAGCTTTTGTCTAAATTATTCGAATAGGACATGCTTATTTATAGCAAAATAATTGTAGATCAAGCCAGACCATATGGAAGCCTTCTGTCTTTAATTGCATTTTAAAATGAATTTATTGACTTTTGAGAAGAATTGATGAGCAAATGAGAGAAAGAGACAACGTTGCCTTGCAAGTTGCATCCCAAGGGTATGTTTTGTGGTACTCATGCAATCATCAATCACCTTCAATTCTCATATTGAAAAGGAGCTTGTTTATGTATATTAGGGTGCATAATTATAATGGCAGCCAGTAGAGCTTACTTAACTTGAATTCAAAATTTTGGTCAATCTGTGCTAATCCGTTTCAATCTCATAGGTTTAGAGAAAAAATCAATAACTTGAATTTGTCTCAGAAAAACCAGAAAGGATCCTCAACTTTTATAATTTTGGCCATAAAAAAATGACATGAATTTAAATTGATCACTTAAAATCAATATATTTTGGGTCAAAATAATCTGAACTTGAAACCAGCCGAACAGAATGAACCAATCCAAAACTCAGGTACCCAACGTGACTCGCCCAGCTAGCGTTACTATATGAACTAGACCCATCTTCGTAATGAGAACCAAGAGAATCACAAAAGGAAATTAGGCCCAAAAGGTAAACAAACCCATGAACCCCAATCCAAGTTTTTGCATTAAAAAAACGACTAACAAAATGGCATTTTGAAAGTGAATGTAGGAGCAAAACTGTAGACGGAAAATTTCAATATCATTTACATTCTTGTTGAAACTTTCCAATTCCTAACCAATAAGTATTTTTATCTGTTTTATCTTTAGTTTTTTTATATTAAAAAAAGGGAGAAAAAGCTGTTTTTATTCCAAGTTTTTCAGAGAAAAAACTGGTCATTGATGATAGTACAGAAAACACAATGGCTGTGATCCAAAATATTTCATCCACAACTCGACATGTGTCAACAATGCAAGTCCGACTATATTGCACCAAAGCCAACATATAATCTAGAAAACCAAAGGAAGTAATTCAAGTAAAGTACCAAAAGCAATTTACCTTGGACTGACTTGTTTCTATTTGAGAAGATCATAGGACACGGCTGAAGTTTAACACTAGCTGCTGATGGAGGAAGTCGCCAGCAACACCCTTGAAGCTCTTATTAATCTTCTTTTTGATGATGATTTAGTTCATACAAATATCCCAACGGTACTCTAATCCCCGGAACTTGAAATTTGTTGACAATCTGTGTATGTATATCTATTATGGTGGTTGTATTACTAGTATTTAGTTTCATGATTTGTTTGGTTACCTTGCTCTGCAGACAACTGCACCAATTATCTTGCCAGAAGAACCCATACAAGTTCAATTCTTCCCTGCTCCTCAGGATGAAAATGGCACAAATCATAAATCAGCTACAACTATGAAACCTGGCAAAATTGCTGCTTACTTGGTATCTTATTTGGTGCTATATTTTTAGATGTCTTTGGATGATGGCATGGATTCCCTGCAGCTATATAATATTAGAAGTGATTTGATACTTGCTTTGCTTCCCCTTAAATTTTGATTTCTACAACCAATAATGAAGTGGTAAATTGATAGAGTTCATTCTACTCTGTTACTTCCTGACTATGCAATTCTCTTCTTAATTTTTTGCAGCAACAAGAGTGTCGACCTTGGCTGAAACAAAAGCCTCTTGGTGATCAAGCAAATTCTGGTAAGTTGTGGCATCCTGAAGATGGGTACAATTCAATGTATTAGCACGAAACTTTTCAAAATACAAAAATTTTAGTGAACAACATATGTATGCATCCATTTGTTTCTCAGGTAATGAAGAAGCAAAGCAAAAGCATAAGCCACAGCCTCCTGCAACGGTTGTCCTTGATTTTATAGTTTTTTTTTTTTTTTTTACTTCAATTCATCTATTTTCATATGGAATTTATCTACTAACTTTTAGTTCCCTCTTTTCATTTAATAGTAATAGCATTACCAAATAAAGTATGACCATGAACAAAATATTTAAGAACTACTTGACATATGTCAACTATGTAAATCTACTCTCCAAAGCAAACATATATACAAACTATATGAAAAACTTTCTGAAGTTAAATACAAACATCTATTAAACCATGAAACAGAACATCAAAGACAATTTAAACTTGGATTGATTTGTTTCTTTTTTAGAAGAAGAAGAAGAAGAAGAGGAAGAAGGACAGTACATCGACAGCATTGTACCACAAGGTGATGGAGGAAGTGGCAAACAAAACCCGCGGAGCTTTCCTTGAGCATTACGGTGATGATGTGGTTCATTCTCAATTCCAAGAGGTACTCCAATTTTCTTGCCAATTTTAGTGTCTATCTATCATTGTGATATTGAATGGTTGAAGAAAGTTGAAAAGTGAAAAAGAGAGGACCAAAAGACTCCTACAAGTACTGTCTTTTCATATAAGATGCTGACAGTCAATGACTACACAGAGTCATGAAGAACGGAAAGTGACAGTAGGGCTTGATTAGTTTGGAAATATACTTCCTATGTGCTAATGTTTATCTGTTGTTTGAATCTTTTATTCCAGCTATGGAAGTTGAAAATGAAGAATAAAAAAGTTAAATCATGTTTCCTTGCTGGAAATGTTCCTCCTGAAGGTGTTACAACCCCTTTACATGATCGTAATCCGCCATATGAAAGAAGGGAAGAATGTGGAAGTGGTACTTTCATTCAGGAAATTGACCGTGCGCTGGTAGGCCTTTAACAAACGTTATGCTTATTAACCTAGAGCCTAGACCTTCCCTTTCTCCACCAAATGACTTGTTTCACACCTTTTCTTTGATTTTAACGTGCTATATATATCCAATATCTAGATAGCTTGTTATAGTCTTGCACCGATATATACTAGTTGGCGGTCATCCTTCTGATTTTTGATGAGTGCCCTGAAAACTCGAAGGTGACCTATGGATAACAGAACAATCCTCTTATTGCAGAATTACTCGTATAAGAGCTTGTAACTCGCGTTAGCCAGCAATTCAATGTTTCAGCCCTCCCATCCCTTGCACATCCCTTGCACATACTGAGTCCTTAAAGTTTGATATTCTATGTCGAAAAGTTCATTTTTCTCATCATTTTCCTTCACGTGGTTTACTTTCCGTGCGTTGGTTGATTGACTTGCTTTGTAGGAACCTTTGCGGACAACTACATCAATTCCCTTGCCAGGAGAATCCAGACAGTTTCTATGCCTCCCAGCTTATCAGGATGGCAATGGAACAAGTTCTAAACCAGCTGCTTATATGAAACTTGACAAAACAAGTTCTTGCAAGGTAGTTTCAATTGGGCACCATTTTAAGAATATATTAATACTGCTACTGTAAGATGAATTTCCAACCGGCAATAAATAGATGTTTTTTAGTACTAGTTTCCTCTTTTTATTTCTACATGACTACATGAGGAACATAGTGAATTTATAAGGTTGTCTATACTGATCTTGGTTGTGATGTTTCATTTTTCCCTTTTTCTCGTAGCAACAACGAACAAGACCATGGCATGGAAATGCTGGTACGGTATCCTGATTATTACCTTATTTAAGCAGCAGAACTCAGTTAAATCAAATTTATTTTTTAAAGTACTATTTGTCATTTATATATACATCAATGATTTGGTTTCAGGTTTTGAGGGTGAAAAACCAAAAAAATTTAAGCCACCTCCTCCTGCAAAGGTCTGAACCTTCACTGATTGTGTTTTTCTTGTCATTAGCATTCTATTTTAATGTCATTAATTATCTAACTAGATTAATGCCTTATGGTTCTATTCTGTTCCTTGCTTAGAAACTCATTTTCCTTCTAGGAACTATGGAACCATGAGGGAACAAACTTGTTTTGTTTGGTAGTAAATTGATAGGTTTTATTTGTTGTGTACCTGACCATGCTATTCTCTTCTTTTCTGAAGCAACAACTGCATCAACCTTGGTTGAAACAAAAGCCTTTTGGTAATCAGGAAAATGCTGGTAAGTTTTCGTATCCTCAAGATTTATTTGTTTCAGAGGTGGAAGTCAATATTCAGTAACTCAATTTGCATTATTTTCTCAGGTTTGGAAGAAGCAAGACAAAAATCTCAGTTGCAGCCTCCTGAAATGGTTGGTCCCAGTCATTGTTTGTTACTATATTTTTCCTTGTCATTTCAGTCATCTTAATGTGCAATCAGTTACCAATTTAATGAATTCATCAAATGAAGTTCATGCACAGATTTCTTTTGAACAAAATAAAGAATTCTGATATTGATTTCTGCTTCTGCAATGACAAAGCAGGGTAATTTGCCTCAATGCAATGGATATGTTATTTGAGAAGGTTGGTTTGGACACTATATTTTTCTAACTGAAGTCTTCTCAAATAGCCCTCTATCACAAACATATTCTGCCTAAGACCAGACCTTAGCTCACTTCCAGAATTTCTGTATCATTTCTGAATTGTCATCATGTTTTTTTTTTTGTTGACTTCTGCACTTTGCAGAATTTCAAAGAAAATCTCAAGAACAATATTGTCATGAAGAAGCTTGATTTGGACAGCAACTCCTACCCAACATAGATTTTTCAAAGCTAACAGTAGCCCTTAATTGTTAATGGGTGCCTTAATTGCTTAGATGCATGTCTTCTAGGATCAGATTATATCAGGATGTAAATTCTTCAATTTTTTCAGACTCTTAGGTTAACTGTACTGAGATCAGCTATGAAGAGTTCTACTCAACTACTTCAATTTGGTCCATTTGATGTGATTTGTCGGAGATTTCATTATTATAAGTTAATGTTGCAGGCTGGCAGGGTCAAATAAATACTCCCAAGGCATGTGCTGTTGCCTTACCACATGGGGTTCTTTTCACTTGGTTATCGGTCTTTACATAATTTTGATGGCTAAATTTTCTTTCTCTGTATATGCATATATCTCCAACACCACCCCTCCCCACCACCCCCCCCCCCCCCCCAAAAAAAAAGAAAAAAGAAAAAAAAAAACAAAACAAAAATCTAACTTTACCAGAAAAATCATCAATCGTTATGACTTTTGTACAATATCGCATCCATTACCTTTAAAACACAAATATTACAAGAATGATCTTTAAAAAATATTTTGAATTCTTTCATCAATTACCATTAAAAATTCAATGAAATATAATTCAATATTATTGTATGGACTCACACATAGCATAAATTTCTACAAAAAAAAAAAAAAAATCATGTTTATAAATAGCTCATTTTTTAGTTACAATTATCCGCATTAACATCTATATAAGACAAACTTTTTTTTAAAAGTTCATTTCATACTCCATTTAAAAAA